TTCGTAGTATAATATCCTTCAACTTCATGAATTTTAAAATACTTGAATATTTTAGTTAACTGTTTACAGTACTATTACTGAAAATTCGAGCTTAAATATGAATTAGTAAAGTTAAGGCATAATATAGAGAAGATCAGGTAGCAAATTCAAATTATTAATCCTAAAGAAGCTGTTCACATATTTTTTTTATTATAAAGCAATATAACAATGTTAACATCAAAATCATTAAAGAAAAGAAAGACATAATATATGAACAATAAGAAAAAGATAATAATAAAATTAGATAAAAAAAGTAAAAAAAAAGATTTGTAATTAGTTATCATCAAAAAAAATATCATCAACTTTATTATCTAATCTAAATATTATCAGGTTTTTTTTATTAAAATAGCTATAAAAATGTGTAAAACAAATCATTAAAATCATAACTGATAGTATTTAGAATATACAAGAAGATACTTTAAAAGATTTTTAAAATAGAATCATGACTAAATTTTAGCAGAAAATTTTTACCAAAAAATTCATTTGCAATTCTATTGCTTTTTTTTAGCTCAATTATTTGATAAAATACCTGATACTAAATATGATATAATTCATAATAATTAAAAAGAAATTTTATACTGATATTATTATTAAAAAGAATTCTTAATTCAAATTAAAGAGCTTATAAAGTAAAATCATTAAAAAAAATAAGGAAATAACTAGATTATACTATATATATAATTCAACCTAGTTGCACTAAATTATTACTTAGTTGATACTTCATAAAGTGAAATTATGAAGTCACAGAAATTGATAATTCATTGTTTTATAATCTTTTCATCGTTCAAATTCTGTCTAATAAAAATTTTTCCTTCTTGTAATGCCATCTATCTAATTGTAGAGTTGAGCACAAAATATCTTTATTATTTATGTTATACAAATCTTCTGTCTTTATATCAAATCAAATACTTAAAATACTCAGCTGGCTTAACATCCCTAATGTGTTCAGAATAAAGATCACTGTGACCATATAGGTAAAGTGTCAGAAATGCTCTCATCATATAGTCTAGTATCTGAAATTTATTTATAGGAGTGTAGTCAATATTCAGTCACATTAAAGAAGGATTATCATTTTGTATACTATCAAGTATATCATTAATAGCTATATCTTTGTTATTTATCGAAGACATAGATAGTATGAAAATACAGAATATTGCATTTTCATCATTACTTAAGATCTTGTCTATTTATTTATTGCTTAATTGTCTTAATCTATAAAGCAGATTGACAATAGATCTATTTTCAGGTAAGAATTTGAGAATTTTATCATTGATAATTATGTCTTCATAGTAATATTTGTTTATTTTTAACTATAATAATATGATAGCAACTTTTTCTTAATATATACAGAAATCTTTGTATATAATTGATTATTTGGAGATTGCCTAAAGAAGATGGATTCTGTAAGAGTTATTTCATGAATCTATGTATATTTTGAGAAAAGTTTATGATATTTTCTTTATATCTATTTTGATCTTCTTGAAGCTAGTATATTGATATCACTACAAATATCTAGACAATCAATATCTCTTCTATTACCAAAAGTCCTTTGAGCTTCTTAAGTACATCTTTTAGATCCATATTATTTTTTGCTAAAAATTTATTTATTAATAATTTTTCTGTATAGTAATGCTAATATTTTTCTTTGATAAGCTTTATTGATAGAATTCACTCATTACATATAAAACAAAAATCATATTGAATTTTATCCATTTTCTCATGAAAATTCTATAAGATATAATATTTATTCTCACAAATGTTAGAGGCTGAAGGCAATGCAGTATGTAAAGATAAGTTATCATTATCTCCTTGATTTATTTCTTAATTTCATGCTTCTGTTTCATTATATTTTTGTATATTGGAATTTATTTGAAGATTTTGTTTGTTAAGAATATAAAATTCATATTTACATTCATTCTCGTGATTAATACGTATCTCACGTTCTTCAGTTTTTATTTTTTTATTTTTTCTTTTCATTTGTGAATACTTGAAAGCCACGCCTCACATTATTTAGAGGTTTCTTCTACTCTTATGAAAAGTCATATTTCATGCTATTCAGATCTCTTTTTACTTTTATAGCTTCATTTTTAAAGTATCTCTAGTTAGTAGTCATGTTATAATGATATATAGAATATTATGTTATATAGAATTTTTATCTTTAATCATTAACTAAATATATAATGATATATTCATTAACAATAATTAGATCATTTCTAGAAATTTCTCATGTGACTTTAATATATACTCATTTATTAATTGTTAAAAATAGTAAAATGTATTTAATTTATGCAAAAGAACACAAAAAATTAATATATACATTTTTTACTAACTATTAAAATATTAAAAATAAAAATTTAATTAATTTATGCTATACTAATTTATTAAATTAATTAAATTTATTAATCTAATATATTATGTGAAATAGTTATAGCAGGTATTTTGTCACCAACCTTGCATTTACTAGTTCAATTATTCAGATTGCTAATGATTTTTATAGGATAAAACCTCTAATTAGTTACCATTACCTTTATTTATCACATAAAAAATAAGCTCCAGACTTAATAACGGTTCACAGTTCCTTAGTATAAAACAAATTAGAGATTGAGATTTAATAAATGGTTGGAAATATATTTTTATATGTATTCTGATTTTTTAAATCAATTTCTAAATGTTGTTAAATTAGTTTACAATTATTTCTTTATCTAATGCACAAGTTGAGAAAATATTTTCTCAATATAAACTTATTAAAATCCGTTTGAGAAATAGAATGAACATTGAATCATTAAATTAATATTTAATGATTTTGCTTAATAGGCTGGATGATTTTTGTAGGTTTAATTAGAATATGGTTTAGGTTGCTAAACAAAATTCAGAGTTTAGACAGACATTTAAATGGTAAAGATAAAACTTGGTTAAATTATATTAAAATTTTATTAAAAAATCTGCGAAATTCAGAAAAAGGTAAAAATATATTAAAGCTATAAAATGGTGAAACTATATCAAACACTTAGTAAAAATTTAGTGAAACTAAAGGTTTAGATGTTTAACTAAATCCAAAATGAGTTTAGACAAGCAATCTTGAATATAGCATATATAGCATATAATTATTAGATAAAAAAAAGTATGTTAAAATAATTAAAATTTTGTGATTTTTTTTGGTTTTTTATTTCCTAAATAATTAATATAAATTTTTTATAACACTAAATATAATTAAATTTGTGGTTGATATTGAAGTATATCGATTACATATAATACATCTTTTATGTAACTTTACATAAAATTATTTGATGCTATGTAAATTGAATTGAGTTATTATTTTTCATTGTGTTCTTTGCAAATCTGAAATTTTTTCTGATATGTAAAACCTGAGTAATACGTCTTTCCCTGGGTTTATTGGTAAAATGGCTGTATAGCGATTTTTAAAAGATAATATAAGGTTTTGGTTTTTAAATCCAGTGTCTTCCTAGCCTGTAAAACCTGAATAATACGTCTTACTCTAATTTGATTAGTAAGTATATTGTAATGATTTTATATTATTCAGGTTAAAAATAATTGGCATTTCAAAGTTAATTCAAGAATTTACTTATTTGTGATTTTTTAATATTGTTTTTTTAGACATTATAGTTTATGTCAAATTTACAATTATTGTTTATTGCTATTAAATTTGTTCATTATACTAATATATTTATTTTTTTATCCAGGTTTATATAGAATCATTAAAAGAAATTATACTGAATAAAAATTTTACCATTATTAAATTTTTAGAAAAATAGATTTTCCTTTCATTCAAAAGGAACAAGTAGAAAACGTTTTATACAATACATTAAAAACTATAGAGTCTGAAAACAATAAACAGTTCATGAAAGCTGAAAAGCTTCTGGTAAATTTTAATGAACTTATTAATTCTAACTCAGTAATATACTATTAAAATAGCATTCATATTCAAAATAAAAAAAGCGAAACTCAGATTAGGACTTCTGAATACAAAAAATTTTATATAATAAACTCTATACATACACTTTCAAATTTTTTTAATGAGTTTCATCGTACTGTAATACAAATTTCCTTTTTAAATGATCATGTGTAACTACTTTCATTATACACTCAATATACCATGGGCAAAATTGTTCGTTGTATATCTGTTTAATGACAAAATGATTTGTTATACAGTTAAATAATAACCAAGAAAAGATTGGTCATACAATTTATCCAAATTTAGCATTACTATTGTATATATATCATATACTTATTATACTTATCTGTCTTATACACTTATGCTTTTTCATTTTTTAAAAACATGACTTAAAAAACATGTTTCAAAATAACAAATAATTATAAAAAATTTATTTTTTGAATATTTTAGGAATCATTATGAACAGTGAATCTTCCAAAAAGCAAAATAAGAAAATGTTTGTTCAGACTAAAATTTATTTCCTGTATCTACTGAACCTACTGCTAATCAAAAAAAGGAAAAGGAAAACGTGTTTTCCATTCATGTTCACTTATATCAGAGAAAAAAAAGAACCAGAGCCTGATATTACTCACGAAAAAGCAATATTTTGAAAAAGAAAGCATTGAAATTAGATGATATGCTTCTTGATGAAAATTTTGAAAAGTTGGATGAAAAACACATGTATTGTTATTATTGTGATATAGGAAAACAAATTATACTGTATTGGTCTAATGATGGTGATTGTTTATAGACGCATCTTAATACTTAATTATATATTAATAATAAAGCAAATGCAGATAAAAGAATATACAAAAAATCACAAACAACCTTTCTTACTTAATTTGTTATTGGTATTAATGATCAATTTAATTAAGATGGAAGCAATTTGCAATACAAAGGTAATTATGATTTTTTTTAGCTTAATCTTTTTTAAAATATATGCTTTATTAAATATTTAATAATAATTTATTTAATAAACTAACTTGTAATGGATTTTTTTCTTACAAATATGCTGCATTGGCGAAGTATAGAACTAAAGGTAATAATTATCAAATTTTATGTGATGATACTCTTTTTAATGGTATCGAAAAGACAGAAGAATACTTTAAACATGAAAATTGTGTAGGGAAACTCAAGTTTGATTTTGTCTAACATGTGCATCTTTGGCTTATAATAAAGCTTTTTAGAAGTGTAATCATCATATGCAAATCCTTATTGCTCAAATTGATTCTTTAATTCTTTTTAAAGAAGAAAAAAAATTTCCAAAAAATTTCATAATCAATTTAGTAATAGTGAATAGTTAATAATGAATTATCAACAACTTTATGAAACTGTCACAAAAACAATTAAGCATCAGCCTGGAACAGCTATATCTGATGCACTTAAAAATCTTCTTAATTATCTTAATACTAAACTTGAAAATAAATCCTATTATTTACTTATAAAGTCATATCCAACACTTAGCCAAATTCTTGAAGCTGTTGAAGCAAATGGACTTGAAGATTAGATTGGAAAATGTGTTACCTTTATGATTAATAAGACTATGGATGAATAACGACCAGTTTTTATTAGCATGACACAAGCAGTTACCAAAATTCTTGATAAAATGGAACGTAGAGTAACATCAATATGTGGAATTAGTCAATATAATGAAAGTTTTGTTGATTTTCTTATTGTATTAATATCAATTAGTATATTATCAGTTCGATGGATTATTACAAATCTTGCTGGTCTAACAGTTCGATTAATACGTAAAAAAAGAAATGAAGGTAATGGGTTTTTTAATATTCATGAGATTAATTCTAATGTAATTGTAGAGCTTATTACAATTTGGCAGTCAACATATAATTATTACAGTCCAACAATATATGCAAAAGATCAAACAAAAGTTGCTGAAATTATTGAAGTTTGCAGAATACGTCAATAATAGGTGGGATCAGTTCCAATTGATACTTCAACAATACCTTATTCAATGACTGCTAAAGAACTTCATACTAAAATTTCATCATTTGAAAAGGTGACATATATTACTGTTTTTGCATTATTAGCTATTTTTCTGGGTATTCTACCATTGGTATTAGCTGTTATACCATCTAATCAAAAAGAAACTAAAGCTGATGCATTTTTTGAAAACAACATAGTTTTAAAAGAATTAATAAAATCAAATGCAAAACCTATTGGACTTTATTTTGATGGAGTTACACATGATCGATCTTGGATAAAAGAATCATATAGTAAAAATTCATCAGTTTTTTCTGATCTTAGTATCACATTAGTAAGTATACAATAATCTTTATTATTTGATAATTGATATTAATTATTGTTTAATAATAATATTTAATAGTTTTAGAATGATACACCTTTTACAAGAAATTTTCCAATTGAGATGGAAATATTTAATAATTGTCAATCTTTAATTAGTGGAACTGGTGTTTTTCATTGTGTTAAAAAAGATAATCTAAAAGTTTTTATATATTGTATATTATTTTTTTTATAATTTACAAGTTAACAAAATAAACAATTTAAAAGCTTAGAATATGCATAATGAAGGCGCACATATTTGTTCAATTGGTAATTTTATTATGTCAACAAAACACCTTTGGTATCTAAAAGAAAAATATGAAAATAGTCAGATTTAACAAATGAAGTATTAAACCCAAAAGATAAACAAGCAGATGAGCTCGCTGAAAGATTTTTTTCTTCTAATGTATTAAAAGGTATAAAATAATTTTATTCTAATTATTTAATATAAACATAATTAGTAAAATAAGTTTAACTAACACATTGACTCTTTTAGCTATAGTTCAGCATGCTACTGAATATAATGATGATTCATTTTATGGAGATGCTCTTTATCATTTCTTTGCAGGACTATTATTTGAATCGTGAAAATCTTGTATAATGGATTACCTGAATAGGATTAGATTTGCATAAACGGTAACAATATTTTTTGCCACAACACAATATTATTTGATGTCAAACAACAATCAATGAAATTCTCAAAAATATAGCATATTCTGGCAATCAAATGATGACTTTATTTACCTTGGTATTACTTTAATTTTTTTGATTCAACATTTTCCAAATTATTATCCTAGCATTCCATTGTATCCATAAATTATCTTCACTACTTTTTTAGAACATATATTTGGTTATGCATAACGAATAATAGAAGATTTTACTGTCTTAGATTTTTTAATGATGAATGAAAAAATTTTTAAAACAATTTCAATTGAAATGAAAGATATAAGTTTTTTTTATTAATTTATGCAAATGTAATCAAATTTTTAAAATATTATTTATTTTTTAACTATTACTTAAGAAAACTTAATAAGACCAGATAATAATGATGAGTACAATATTCATCTTTCAACTGCGAAAAATAAACTCTTAAAAACTTTATTGGAATTTCCTAATATATTTGATATTAATTCTAATTCTAATATATTAAAGATTCATAAAATTAAGTTTTAACTATATAATATAATTATTATTAGGGTTTCGCAATTCGATTTGATATTTGAATATTTGATTTGAAAATCAAACCAAATACAAATTCAAATTTATATTTGATTTAATTCAATCAAATTCAAATCAAAGAATGATTTATTTGATCAAATCCAA